TTCATCTCAGTCACAAATCAAGACAGACCTAACATGCCTTGCCGTGGACCGCCGGTGCCACCCAGCGGCAGAACAATACATTATATCTCCCTTTCTTCAGCCTATAAAGAACGCAGAACATTGTTTTAAAGGGCTCAGTAGTGAAAACAACTTTAAGCTTAATCAGCTTACCATTAGTTAACAATTAAACATTAGGTGGCCTAACACACAACAAATAGAACAACTTTAACAAAGAACTGTTTAGCCCAAGAATATAAAGGTCTGACTAACTACAATAATATCCAGAGGTGTCAAGTCACAAAGTATTTGTACTTACTTTACTTGTACTTCTGTATTTAAAGGGAAACACTGTTTTTTGTTTTTTTTTGTTTTTTTTACATTAGCCCCTTGATTTTACGTTATTACATCATGTTCTACTCACCCATATGATTTTTGTGTCATTTGGAGCTGTTCTGAAGATATTCCATTAGGTTATATCCAGGTAACGTCTTCCTAAGGGCAACGAGTTGAAGGCACAAACTAAACTGTTCTTAATTTATTCTTTATGGTACGCCAGCATTCATAACATGTAGGCGAATCACTGCCCCCCAGACATCCGCGGTTATATTTTTTTTATTTATATCTTTTAAAAATGAAACGGTGCGTGTATGACGTCATACGTGCTACTCACACTCCTGGAAGATGTCTAGTGCTACTACCACAGACGATCTCGCTCTCGAAATGGAATTGAAAGATTCAGATTACCGTATTTTCACGACCATAAGGCGCACCGTACTAAAAGGCGCAGTCTTAGTTATGTGTGCCATTTCTGTATTTAACACACACATAAGGCGCACAGGACTATAGGGCGCAGGTTTTATATACAGCTACATGTTCTCTACTACATTTAAATACCTCTACTGCGTATTTAAAAATACAGCGGGACCAAAACTCAGTATGACTGTGCTTTATTCATGTATTTATTACAAAGTATTAATCAAACCTGGGAGCTGGCAGAGAGACAGACACATCGCTGATGACAGAGCGCTGTGATCACTTCTAAATTAAATTAAAATCCTGAAACCTGCCGACGGAATATGTTTGCTTTTATTACCGTTATCCTGGTGCCTGCAGTTTAAATTATTTACATGAAAAACACCTGCCAGCCGCCGCCGTGAACCCGGAGGCTACCTGGCCTAGAGGCTGCTGTTGAAGGGATTTCTACTGTCGGCGCACCGCTGGTATGTGGGGGTCTGAGCGCCTCCGACAGAAATAGTATAGGCAGGATGATAATCTGGATGAACTGACTGCAATTATTAAGTTTTCAGGTGGACTTTCTCCCTTAAAAACATATTAAAACTACTTTATTCCCACTGATCACAGCAAATATAGCTGCAAGATTTAGATTATTTAGATGAAAAACACCTGCCAGCCGCCGCGGTGAACCCGGGGGCTGCTGTTGAATTAAGTTTTCAGGTAGAAAAATAGAGCGGGACCAAAACTGAGTGTGATTGTGCTTTATTCAAGTATTTATTAGTATTAATCAAACCCATCAAAGTCATCATCCTCTGTTTCTGAATTAAACAGCTGCGCTAAATCAGACATGCCAATTTCCCCTTCTTCGCTGTCAGTGTCACTTTCCGTGCCGGGCGGCTCCTCAGAAATAATGCCGGCTTTTGCGAAAGCTGAACAACAGAGCCAGCAGACACGTTAGTCCAAGCATCTACAATCCATCCGCAAACGGTGGCGTAACTTGCCCGGCGCTGCCTTCCACTTTTCCTGAAACTGTGGTCTCCGTCTTCATCCATCGCTCGCAGCCTTACTTTGAACGGCCGGTTCACACCGATGTCGAGCGGTTGAAGTTCCTTTGTCAGACCCCCCGGGATAACAGCGAGTACAGCGTTCATTTGATTCACCTTTTTTTCACATCAGCTGTGAGATGGGCACGCATGGAGTCACAGATTAACAGCGATGGTGATGCATGGAAAAAACCACCTGGTCTCCTAACATACACCTGCCTCAGCCACTCTTTCATCATCTCCTCATCCATCCAGCCCTTTTCATTTGCCTTAATATCATATGTCATCAGAGCGATGTGTCTGTCTCACTGTCAGCTCCCAGATCAGCTTCTCTGATTGGTTGATGTGGCGCTTCCAGCAGCAAAACTTTAATTTTTTCCAACTCGAGCAGCAGCAGCGCGTTGGCGGCGCGTCAGATGCTTAAACGCTCCCGACGCGCTGCGTCTGCTGCTCAATACGCGCCGCGGGACCCTTTGCTGCGCCTTGACGCGCTTCAACCATTGACTTTGCATGTAAACTCGCTGCTTCTGCTGCGTCCGGTTCACACCGATGTCAAGCGGTTGAATAACAGCGAGCACAGCATTCATTTGTTTCACCATGTTTTTCACATCAGCTGTGAGATGGGCACGCATGGAGTCACAGATTAACAGAGATGGTGATGAGTGGAAAAAAAACCACCTGGTCTCCTTACATTCACCTCCCTCAGCCACTCTTTCATCATCTCCTCAATGAGGTGGTCTCAAAAGTCGCAGTTACAACACACATAGGGCGCACCGCACCAAAGGGCGCACCGCACATTTTGAGGGGAAAAAAAGACGTTTATGTGCGCCTTATAGTCGTGAAAATACGGTAGATGTTCTGTCTGTTTAAAAGCTCAGACTTCTGAACAGGCCTCAAGTTTCTAGAGCTGACGATATTTGTAATTTCCAGCATCTCACTTCTCTACTGAAAGGTTCTACATACTGTAGTCTAGGTGATGTTTCCAGAAGGTAAGGTCCACTTCAAGGTCAGATGCTAAACACCAGAGGAACCTGATATTCCAGCTTTTTCGAGGTGTGAATAAGCAAAAATAAGGTATTTTTATCCACTCTACTAGATGTTATGTCCTTTCTTTTGTCCTTGTGTCCTTACAACTTGATCTCCTTCCTCCCTGAAGAAGGAAATACTGAGCCCCTAACGTGACACCATCAGCTTAACTAGACCCATGCCTCGTTTCCACCGAATTCTAACCCGATCAACGGTACGCTGCAGCACATATTTCTTTGATTATTAATTTTTATGTATTTTTAAATCCACATAAGAGCAGATCCAGGAGATGTTTGGTGATATTACTGAGCTGTAGGACTAGAAGAGTTGCTGGTTTTTGAAACATTTTTTTTCTCCAATTTCAGTTTATGATGTAACCAGGATGTTTTAAATAGTGCTAATATGCCGCCTGCTGGTTCTGCGTTAAAAGTCCTGAATTGAAGGACAGGTTCAGGCTGAATCCCAAACCGCACCCTAACCACTATCCCTTAACTATCAAGGGTTAATCGCAATAAGGTAACCCTCAGAGCTGTGGAAGGCGCCTGGATTGTACGTGGGGGGGGTTTAAACGTGAATGGGAAGGCCTCTTCCCTCCTACGGAAAGCAGTCGTTTCTATGGAAACACATTGACGCTGCATGTGTGTGGCTGTAGCTCTGTGGCGCAGATTAACATAATATCAAACATTTTCCATTTTCGTAAAAATAAATCTATCCATTCAAATAAAACTATTTCAAAGAGGACATTCCATTGGGCGATTAATTACGTCTTTTTTCCTAACATGATTTTCTTATATTTTCTGTTGTGCTGAAGATGCAGGAAACCAGCTGAACTTGCATTGGAATGCACGTGTTTCCTCTGCCAATACTTTGCCATTATACCTGCCAAACAAAATTCCAACAAGCCTGCAGACTAGCTATTTAACGGCTGAACAGTCCACTGGCCCTACCCACTACGTTGTTTGGGACGGCCCTTAATGTGGCGGACCCTCCGCAGGACTCCAAACGGAGGGTTAATGATTAGGGGCTGGTTTGGGATTCAGTCTTAGACATCAGGACCGGAGAGCAAAGGTCATTATGATAGAAAAGACCTCTGACTCTGCTCTGACGGGTCTGCTAATGACTCTAGGAACAGCCAAGGACTCAACTGGGTCTAGTTTAGATGACATGGTTCTGTTGGGTCCCTCCTGAGACCTACAGCTTGCACTGGGGCGGTTCGCCACCAGGATGAGAATCAGAGAATCGTCCTCCAAGTCAAAGGCCTTAATTCTCGACTGAAAAAAGGTGGATTGTCTCCTTCAGGTCAGAGGAGAGTCCCTGTCTCGACTTCGGGTGTTGAAGTATTTTGGGGGTTCTGTTCAGGAGTGAGAGGAAACGGATAGATGGATCAGTGCTGCCGCTATGATGCTGCAGTCTGCTGAGGTACAATGAATGAGAAGGCAGGAAGTAACGACTAGGTCCCACATCAGATGGATGCAAACCTCAATTTACAGTAAGACTGACTTGTAGCATAGGATAACATAGAAGAGGGGGTTGGATGGGCAAGACTTTGGTCTGAGGCCCCTTAACCCTTTAAAGCCCGATCCAAGCATAAAACAAAAAAGAAATTTACTTTTTTTTGGTTTGAAGTCCTTATTTGGCCTTTTAAAAAAATATGTAAAAAGAAAAAACAGAAATACATTTTTGATATTAATAATTTATTACTATGCGATAAGTCCAGATTACTTTTTGTGTAGTCTTCTGCCCTCTGTTATCAGGTATATCTGATTGTATACAATAGGATTTTGAGCAAAGTTTTTACAATTAAATTATGCAAAAGGTTTCAGACGCAAAACATTTCAGTAACCGTATGTATCAAATATGATACATTTGGCATTGTAGAGTTAATTACCCAGTCATACTCGTCATCAGGTGTTCATCTGTTCAACACAATAAAACATCAACCAATAGAGTGGTCCATAACATGATTTGAAGTAGACTGGAACAATAAACACAGATACATGGGGAGAGGGAGGGCTTGTGAAGGTAGATCTTGTTGGTGGTTCTTTTTAAGTCCCAGTTTGAAAAAGTAACATCTATTAGAGGCTGATAAAACGTAATGGAAACAGAACAAAGTGTGTAAATGAGCATAAACCAACAAAAGCAAACTGAGCCAAGACAAGAAACTACAACTAAACACAGAAGGAATATTTGGCAACAGAAAATCTCTGGATGGATGATAAACAGTTTTATAATCCCAAGATAGATCCAGGTTGATTCTATTTGTTTTTTTGTATACAACTTGACCACTAGATGGTAGTAAATGACAAACTCTGCCACTTGAACACCAGTAGTTTCCAGAAATTAAAAACTTCTGTAATAAAAAAAAAAAACATGTTTTGGGTTGTTTTTCTTTGGTGGAAGCAGAGAGGTTTTACAAGTTCCATTTCTGTGACTGAACACAGAATCTAAACCATGACTGAGGTCAGCTGGATGTCTCCCTCGATCTCCACGCTATTGATGTTATGTAGAGGAGTGAAGCGGTGGTTGTAGGTGTGGGCCTGCATCCAGTTCACTACAATCCTGAAGGATCTTTGTTCACAGATGATGGTCAGCTGGAAGAAACAAGGTTCAGAGAGGTCATCCTAACTGCTTAAATGTCTTTGGGATTTCTTACAGAAAGCTAAATACAACCTCTTCCTTCAACCTAATCTGTATCAGCCTGGGGAGGCTTGAAGATACAGAAAACTAACAGTCTAGTCACGGTTTAACCATATTTATTAACAGCAACAGCCAACAAAAAAGGGGAACCAGACAGCCGGTAATACTTTACTGTACAGTAGAAGGAAGGAGCAACAACTCTGCCTCTGGAGGAGGCAACGGAGCCCACCAAACCAGAAACCTAGATTTCCTCTTTTGTCTGTAGTTTATGCATTTCCTCCAGTCTGCTGGTGAAGATTCCCAGTCATCCAGGTCATAGTCATTCCAAAAAAAGTTTAAAACAAACCACTGGACTTTCTTTTTTCCAAGTTTGAAGACATTTCACTCCCATCCAGAAAGCTTTCTCATTTAAAATGTCTAGAGTAGTGTGGAGCTCCAGGCTTTATGGTAAATGGCCTGTACTCTTATAGCACTTTTTCAAGTCAGGAGACTTGACCAAAGCACTTTAAACTACATTCAGTCATTCAGCCATTCACTCACACACTGATGATGGGAAGCTACATTGTAGCCACAGCTGCCCTGGGGTTCCCTGACAGAAGCGAAGCGTTGGGCTATAGATTAGCCCAACGAAAGCCTTGTTTTGGTTTAGAAAAAAGGCAAATTGAACCGAAACAGGTCCACCCCTTTGTAATGGGCAGTCTTCATTGTCGTTGTTAGCCTGCAAGTTAAACCAAAACTTGCCCACGCCTCTGTAATGGAGAGTTGTGAGGGTCATAATTTGCATGGCTTACAGGAGCAATGTTTTGATCACCTGCATGTTGATGAGGAATGAGGTGATTGTTTGGAAGAATCAACGCTAAAGCTGTGTTATAGGATTCAGAGACCGAGTCTTCCTCCTCTGTTTAAAGTCGTAGGGAAGCGACTGTTCCAACTGTTGCATTTCCAAATTCTCCTGAGTGGTGCACGACTTTACACGCATGAATAAAGTGAATGTGATTGGTTGTTTATCAAGGGGGCGGGATTGTTGTGGTGGAAGGTTCGCAAGCAAGTTTGGTGATGGCCGGTTTATCGGAAACATCTTACTAACCAGTTAGCAACTTAGTGCTAGTAGGTTCCCAATGGGAAATTACATTGGGACCAAGTAGCACTAAATTGGTGACTTAGAAACAGCACTGGATGAGTCTCCTCCATCATACAATTTTTATTTAGAGGAGGAAGGTGAAGACGAAGATGGTGTGGAAGAGGACGCCAGGGCGGCAGAAGCTTGGTTTGGTGTAGAAGGCTTACAGCCGTACATGTTTGAGCCCTTGCCTCGCAACGCTGCCAGTTCTGTTAGCTCTACGCCTGCTGAAGACACAGACATCCATCCCCGTGAACACTGGGACGGAACTCAATGGGAAAGTAAATAGTTGTTATTTCAACCGTTGCATATATTAGCTGCGACATATGAATCAAGATGCTATGACTGAAAAGATTTGTTTGACAGATGACCTGTTTTTGGAGAAAATCTTCTTGAGTTTTTCCACAGACTCCAGCAACATATGGGATGGCGAAATTTTTGCGTTTAAAAGGGAATGCCAATTTTTTTTACATGATTTACCTTGATTTTACATTATGACATCATGTTCTACTCACCCATATTAGTTTTTGTGTCATTTGGAGCTGTTCTGAAGATATTCTGTTAGGTTATATCCAGGTAACATCTTCCCGTGGGCAACGACTTGAAGGCACAAACTAAACTGTTCATAATTTATTCTTTATGGTACGCCAGCATTCATAACATGTAGACGAATCACTGTCCCCCAGACATCCGCGGTTATATTTTTTATATTTATATATTTTTTAAATAAAGCGGAGTGTGTATGACGTCACCAGTGAGCGCCGGCTACCGTTCATTCATCCTGTCCTCTGAACTGCTGCTAGTTTTACTCACATGCCTGGAAGATGTCTAGTGCTATTACCACAGATGATCTCGCTCTCGAAATGGAATTGAACGATTCAGATTAGCTAGGCGAATGAATATAAAGGGTAGAGCGTAGCCGCCTGTGGCCCGGGCTGCCTGTTACAACTCCAGTCCAGCACGCGGATGACGTCATACACACTCCGCTTTGCTTAAAGCTACAGTGTGTAATTTTCAGCGACATCTAACGTCCAGACTGCAGACCGCAGCAACATGAACGTCTCCCCCCCACCGCTTCTCCCCCCCAACAGTACGGCGAGCGTTACGGGACAAAATGTCTTCCACGACGTCCGCATCACCTACCTTCTCAAGTGATGAGGTTTGTTTACATAGATAATTTTACAGATAGTATTTCATTAGTCTGTGTGTTCAGTACCGTCTCAGTTCATCTCTCTCAACTTGCCGTAGTTACTTTCGAGCGTAATGGGCGATCTTGCAATCGCTAGTTTGTTGGCTCTGTGCTGCCGTAGCGCAAAGATGTCTGCCTCCATGGCTGCGAGACCCGCTCCTATGTAATTATAAATAACGAATTCTAAGGCAACGCAAATATTAAGTTTAAAAGGCTGAGCTCGTAGATGATGATAAATAACATAGTTATGTATAATATATTACATTTCTGACTGTACATCCCTGTAATTATTACACACTGTAGCTTTAAAAAAATATAAACATAAAAAATATAACTGCGAATGTCTGGGGGGACAGTGATTCGCCTACATGTTATGAATGCTGGCGTACCTTAAAGAATAAATTATGAACAGTTCAGTTTGTGCCTTTAAACCGTTGCCCATAGGAAGACGTTACTTGGATATAACCTAACGGAATATCTTCAGAACAGCTCCAAATGAAGCAAAACATATGGGTGAGTAGAACATGATGCAATAACGTAAAATCAAGGGCCCAATGTGAAAAAACAGTGTTCCCCTTTAATGTTCTCACCATTATGATCTACTACATCTTTTTTGTATTTCCTTAATGATTTGACTCCCAGTTTGGGTATCCGTAGGTTTGTAGAGCATCTTTGATGTGTTTCTGTTCTTTGTGCTTCCCTTCTGTTTCAGTAGAGACATGCTCAGCCTGGGGTTGTCTGATGACAGAAAGCCTGACGCACAAACAAAAAAGAAAGCTTTCTGGATGGGAAGTAAAACGTCTTTAAAAAAATAAAGTCCAGTGGTTTGTTTTTAACTTTTTTTGGGATTCCCTTCAGTCCTTTTTGGACTGAGGTCATCTAATGGCCTTCACTGCCTGATTACTAACATATATCCCTTGGCATGACACATTGCTATAAAATAAGTGAAGAAAAAAACTTTTTCCAATAATAATATGACAGAGTGAAATTGACAGCATGACATTCTTCTCTAATTCAGTTAATGGTAATTGTGTGACGCAATGGCCCTTAAAAATAATTATTTTTTAATCCCTAGATGGTCAGTTAAGCCTTTAAATATAAAAAAATTCAACAAATAGACGATAACATCACAGAGGAAGTAGAGAACCCAGCGCTGAATCAGCCAAACACTGAGATTGACGCCACTGACCCATGTTTGCACACATTATTTGGAACAGTGGTGCATCAGATGTCAGGGATTTTAACATTAATATTTTCATATCGTGAAAGCCTGCCCTCGCTGGAATGGCATTAATCCCATTCGTTCCTCAGAGCCCCACTGCCCATGCTGCTTGGTGTTTCGGACCACCGTGTTCTTGTTTAAACGTGGATTATAATGCAGAGCGATTCCAGTCTGGTGGCTGAAGTTCACGTGGAACCTGGGAGGAAACGGAACATGAGACAGAAAATTTTTTAAACAAACAGGATTAAACTTTAAGCTAAAATCTAATACGATCAAATCATCAGCGATGGGGTGAGACATTAGGAGGCATTATGTCACTTTACAGAACAAAGAGTTTGATCGAAAGAGGCAGAAATTGTTGTTCAGTTTGATTCTTGTGGACAAACTGATCTGTTGGATATCTTTATTGCACTGAACTGAACTCAGCAGGGCCAGATCTACACTGGACAGCAATATTCTGACTTGGCTGTCGGTGAAGGAGGACCATTTTTCTCCCTCTCCCTCTCCTTCCCCTTTCTGACATGCTTAGCTCTGTGTCTTGTCTTCTGCTGGAGCCCCTCTTCAAGCCCCTGTCACATCTTGACATACGAAAAATCTGGCAAAATCGCTGGCATATGTTGGATAAGTTATGGGTATGTTTTGTAAGTTATAAGCATGCTGAAGCACGCTGGCACACGTCATCATACGGTGAGTACATCGAGAAATATTGAGCATGCTCTTGACGTGTGCCAGCGTATGCTCATGCGTGGGCCATAAGTTACAGTTAAGTTTTCTGATCGTTGACATACGTTAATTGTAAGTTACTCATCAGTTGTAGTGTCTAGCTTATCCAGAACCTATGAGTGACTTGTGCATAACTGATGCGTAAATCAACCTTTTCATAACATGAGGACCCAAATTTGGGTCCTCAGCACTCGCCCCAAGATGATTTTTAGACCTGTAACATATTCTCTGGGGTCTTGCCTTTATTTTGATACCAAAACAATTAAAATAAACTCTGTAGTTCTTGAGATATATTCAATTCATTTTGGGCATGTTATTTTCAAGCATATTTCTCGAAAACAGGCCTAGTGTCCAAGAGGTTAAGAACTTATCTCCAAAGCATATCAACGTATTTCTCCAGATGACCGCTGAATGTGTTTCTATCTTACAGCTACTGTTTAATGGCTTATTGGCAGCATTTTGGTATAAAGGGGGTTCACAGGAGGAAACCATCAATACTCCAGACTTTATTCCCATCATAGTTTGAGCGTGAAGGTGAGTGTGATGGATCCTCCCTGCGTTCACAACCACAACTAACAAACTTCCTAGCAGACATGATGCTGAATCTGCTGCGCCTGCAAACCTTCTTTCTTTCCTTTTCTTTTTTCTTTTTATCTATTCATTATTTTTGGCGGGCGGTAAACACAGCTAGGTTAATAGTGCGATCAAAGAAATCTTTTAATGCAGGCCAGGTGCCTCCAGGCGCATTGCTGCCCCCTTCAGGACATTGGCTTGTTCATAATACATGGGAATTATGCTGCTGTGCGTTATGCATAAGTTAGGCTGACGTTGGACATAAGTTCTGGACTTGTTATGAATACTCTATGTATAAAACTAACATTGAAAAAATATATAAAAAGTTCAGCATATAACAGTTTTTGAGTAGATTCTGGGATGCCAAGCAAATGCTTGCTAAATCAGCAAGGTGTATCTTCCCAAAACCTACAAACTGAATTATGGATCTGGTCAGCTTGTCTCTCATTGCAATTGAAAAATAGTTTTCTACAGGAAGACAGGCTAAAGGGGATCCCTGCTGTCCATATGCTACATTGTTCTCTTTATACAGAATGGATGCCTTGCAGAAGTTGAAGATTGTTGGCCTAATGATTATGTCTGTTGAGGACGTAGAAGATTCATACATATTTGGATTTTTTTATAACCTCTCAAAACCCACCGGTTCGCTACAACCCGTTTTAAAGGGTAAACAACTAATAACACAGAATGCTTGAAAATTACACTGGTATCCTCTTATTTGGAAGACCTGTTCATTGTTATGACAAGTTCTGTCTTTATGCATTTTTGTTCTGTGTGTGTTCTGAGGGCTGGGAGTGTTGCCAGGCAGGTGGAAAAAAAACATGTTAACGTTTAGAGGATATGCAGTATTATAGTATACAGACTTTGAATGTAAATGGTATAAAAAATCACATTAAAAGAAGCAAGATCATTTCAAAGCTTAAACAAGAGCAGATTGGCATAGGTTTCTTGCAGGAAACACATTTGTCAAATGAAGAACATGAGAAGATAAATAAAATGGGTTATAGAAAAACATATTTTGCTTCTCACAGATCAGGGGGAAAAAAGAGGAGTAGCTATTCTTATATCAAACAGTATCAGATTTGGTTTTATTTCAGAACACAAAGATAAGGAAGGCAGATTTTGTCTTGGTAAAGGGGAAGTTGGAACAGGAAGAGGTCACTCTATGCAATATATATGCCCCCCTGGTAGTAGCATAGATTTCTTTAAATAAGTATTCAGTCTTGTGGCCGCAGAAGCACGTGGCACATGTATATGTGCAGGCGATTTTAAATTACTCCTAAATCCAAAACTGGATACAACTAGCAGAGAGTGAAGAAAGACTCACTTAGAAAAGTAATTAAAAAAAAACCCGGCAAGAATTGGGACTCATAGATATATGGAGATATTTTACATAAACACGAGCGTGAATTTACTTTTTACTCTACTATTATTTCTTTTTGTTCAATAGGGACCTTCACAGATTGAAAGATTGTTTAATAGGCCAAAGAGACATTTCTGATCATTCTGGTTTAAATATGAAAATTAATTTAATTAGGAATCCTAAAAACACTTTATGGAGGCTCAACACATTTATTGAATACTACTGCTTCCAAATTGAAATGGCAGAGGTACTTAAAAGTTATTAAGAATTTAATGATAATGGAACAGTTAGCCCTAAAATTCTGTGGGATGCAGCTGAAGCATATATCAAAGTTTTCTATCTAAGGAAAACCAGTTGATTGCATCGACTTGTTGACCCGAATGCAATCCCTCACACTAAGCATGCTTGTAGCAACAGTGGAGAGGAAAAACTCCCTTTTAACAGGAAGAAACCTCCAGCAGAACCAGGCTCAGTGTGAGCGGCCATCTGCCGAAGCCGACTGGGGCTCAAGGAGACAGAAGCAGAGATACAGAAAGCAACTGTAAAAGGCGGCCCTGTCCAGGAAACACACAGCCAGGCAGACTAGGTCAGAGCCAGTTCCCATGTCAGAGGATGAAGAGAGCACATCCAGCCAGTCACAATCAGAGAAACAGGACTATACTGAAAAACAGGCTGATCTCCAACATCTATAAACAAAGGTGTTGATGGCTGTCAAGTTTTTGTTGTGATGTTGATTTTTTCCCTCAGTAATGCTCCACTTGAAAGAGCCCAGTCAGCAAGGAACAACTCAGAACAAGGATTTCCCCTTTTTGTTTTTTATTGAAATTTGTTTTCTTGATTTGATTGGTGAAGGGGTCATTCAGTCATTCAGCCATTCAGGTTGAAAACCTTGAACACAAGAGTAACAGGAGATATTGCGTTATTTCAAACTTAAACAAACACAAATCATTCAAATGTAAAAATAAAGATCAATAAAGTAAGTACTAATTTGTATCACTAATTACAACTAACTTTGAATGCAACCAAACTAGCAATGCCTTAGCATTAAGTCAGCATAAGTGCCAATAAACCTTTAGCATTAATCTCACATTAACAAATATCTTGTTTAACATTTAACTTAAGTAAATAAGATATGCAAACAGTGGAGTGTCAAACAAAAGCCGTCTGGAGACCCCTAAGCCCGCTCTGAGCCGTCTGGAGACCCCTGAGCCTGCTCCGTGTCTTCCAGAGACTCCTGAATTGGGGCTAGGGTCGGTGCCTTCCCCTGTTCCTGGTGTGTATATTTGATCAGTGGGAATCAGTCGGTGGTTTCCTCTATTCCTGAGGTGGAGCCACAGTCGGTGGCTTCCTCTGCTCCTGATGCGGAGCCGCAGTCGGTGGCTTCTGGTGTTCCTGATTCGGAGCCGCAGTCGGCGGCCTCCGTTGTTCCTGATCCGGAGCCGCAATCGGCGGCCTCCTGTGTTCCTTTGGAGCCACAGTCGGTGGCCTCCTCTGCTCCTGATGTGGAGCCACAATCGGCGGCTTCCGGTGCTCCTGATTCGGAGCCACAATCAGCGGCCTCCTCAGTTCCTGATGCGGAGCCGCAATCGGCGGCCTCCTTAGTTCCTGATTCGGAGCCACAGTGGGTGGCCCTGTCTGAGCCTGTTGCTGAGCTGCAGAAGCAGAGACGGCGTCCTCCTCGGTGCTTCCTGCAGAAGCAGAGATGGCGTCCTCCTCGGAGCTTCCTGCAGAAGCAGAGACGGCGTCCTCCTCGGTGCTTCCTGCAGAAGCAGAGACGGCGTCCTCCTCGGTGCTTCCTGCAGAAGCAGAGACGGCGTCCTCCTCGGAGCTTCCTGCAGAAGCAGAGACGGGGTCCTCCTCGGAGCTTCCTGCGGAAGCTGGGATGGCGTCCTCCTCCGGGGTCCCTGCAGCTTCCAAGACTCCGGCCTCCGGAGTGTCTGCCTCTGCTCCGGTTCCACGGCCAGTCACCGGAGACTCTGCTCTGCTGCCGGTCCCATGGCCAGCCACCTGAGACTCTGCCTTGCCTCCGGCCCCACGGCCGGCCACCTGAGACTCTGCCTTGCATCCCTGGTTCATCCTTCGCCAGCCCTGGGCGAATTATTTTTTGGGGGTCTTTTTCTTTGGGGCGTCTGGTATCCGCCCTTGAGGGGGGGGGGGTACTGTTAGGATCCGGGGCCTTGCCCACCAGAGGGCGCCGTGGATCTATTCCTGGGGAGCTTGGGTTCAGTGTTGACAGCTGTTCCCCATCAGCTGATTAGGAGCTCTCCCTATATTAGCTGTAGAGGAGCTCCACTCGGAGCCGGATTGTTGTCCTTTCTGTGCCACCCTGCCTGTCTGAACCTGAGAACCTGAAGGTCTGTTTACCTGAACCTGTATCTGAGTCTAACCTGCTCTGTCTTCTCTGCCTTCCAGGGCAGAACCCTGTGTGTCTTCAATAAATATTGGACTTTTAACCTGCCTCTCTGTTCTGTGAGTTCTGCATCTGGGCTAGTAAACCTGCTACATCATGACAATTTTTGCTGTTTGTACCAGTTAGTTCTGACGCGCGGCTGAAGCAGCTTTGCTGCTCTGGCTGCGCGGTGCAAAAGTGTGTCTGACGCGCGTTGGGCGGAGCTCCTCTATCCTTTCTTTGCCTTGCAGCTGTATTTGCTGTGATCAGTGGGAATAAAGTAGTTTTAATATGTTTTTAAGTGAGAAAGTCCACCTGAAAACTTAATCATTGCAGTCAGTTCATCCAGATTACCATCCTGCCTTCTAATATTATTTCTGTCGGAGCCGCTCAGACCCCCACATACCGGCGGTGCGCTGTCAGTAGGAATCCCCTTCAACAGCAGCCTCTGGCCGGGTCGCCTCCTCGCGGTTCATCGTGGCAGCTGGGAGGTGTTTTTCATCTAAATAATCTAAACTGCAGGCAGCAGGAAAATAAAAGTGAACACATTCTGCCGGCAGATTTCTGCATTTGAAGTTAATTTATGCGTCAATAAACTGTTTTAGAGGAGTGATCACAGCGCTCTGTGTCATCAGCGATGTGTCTGTCTCACAGCCAGCTCCCAGGTTTGATTAATAATTTGTAATAAATACATGAATAAAGCACAAACATACTCAGTTTTGCTCCCGCTCTATTTTTAAATACGCAGTAGAGGTATTTAAACGTAGTAGAGGATATGTACCAGTACAGGTGCTGGTCATAAAATTAGAATATCATGAAAAAGTAGATTGATTTCAGTAATTCCATTTAAAAAGTGAAACTTGTATATTATATTCATACATTACATACAAACTCATATATTTCAGATGTTTATTTTGTTTAATTTTGATGATTACAAATGACAACAAATGAAAATCTCAAATTCATCATATCAGAAAATTAGAATATTGTGAAAAGGTTCAAAATTGATGGCCCCTGGTACCACACTCTAATCAGCTAATTAACTCAAACCACCTGCAAAAGCCTTTAAATGGTCTTTCAGTCTAGTTCTATAGGCTACACAATCATGGGGAAGACTGCTGACTTGACAGTTGTCCAAAAGACGACCATCGACACCTTGCACAAGGAGGGCAAGACACAAAAGGTCATCGCTAAAGAGGCTGGCTGTTCACAGAGCTCAGTGTCCAAGCACATTAATAGAGAGGCGAAGGGAAGGAAAAGATGTGGTCGAAAAAAGTGTACAAGCAAGAGAGATAACCGCACCCTGGAGAGGATTGTGAAACAAAACCCCTTCAAAAATGTGGGGGAGATTCACAAAGAGTGGACTGCAGCTGGAGTGAGTGCTTCAAGAACCACCACACACAGACGTATGAAAGACATGGGTTTCTGCTGTCGCATTCCTTGTGTCAAGCCACTCTTGAACCACAGACAGCGTCAGAAGCGTCTAAAGAGAAACAGGACTGGACTGCTGGTGAGTGGTCCAAAGTCATGTTCTCTGATGAAAGTAAATTTTGCATTTCCTTTGGAAATCAAGGTCCCAGAGTCTGGAGGAAAAGAAGAGAGGCACTTCATCCACGTTGCTTGAAGTCCAGTGTAAAGTTTCCACAGTCAGTGATGGTTTGGGGTGCCATGTCATCTGCTGGTGTTGGTCCATTGTGTTTTCTGAGGTCCAGGGTCAACGCAGCCACATACCAGGAAGTTTTAGAGCACTTCATGCTTCCTGCAGCTGACCAACTTTTTGGAGATGCAGATTTCATTTTCCAACAGGACTTGGCACCTGCACACAGTGCCAAAGCTACCAGTACCTGGTTGAAGGACCATGGTATCCCTGTTCTTAATTGGCCAGCAAACTCTCCTGACCTTAACCCCATAGAAAATCTATGGGGTATTGTGAAGAAGAAGATGCAATACACCAGACCCAACAATTCAGAAGAGCTAAAAGCCACTATTAGAGCAACCTGGGCTATCATAACACCTGAGCAGTGCCACAGACTGATCGACTCCACGCCACGCCGCATTGCTGCAGTAATACAGGCCAAAGGAGGCCCAACTAAATACTGAGTGCTGTACATGCTCATACTTTTCATGTTCATACTTTTCAGTTGGCCAACATTTCTATAAATCCTTTGTTTTTATTGGTCTTCAGTAATATTCTAATTTTCTGATATGATGAATTTGGGATTTTCATTTGTTGTCATTTGTAATCATCAAAATTAAACAAAATAAACATCTGAAATATGAGTTTGTATGTAATGTATGAATATAATATACAAGTTTCACTTTTTAAATGGAATTACTGAAATCAATCTACTTTTTCATGATATTCTAATTTTATGACCAGCACCTGTATATAAAACCCGCGACCTATAATCCGGTGCGCCTTATGTGTGTGTTAAATACAGTAATGGCACACATAACTGAGACTGAGCCTTTAGTACGGTGCGCCTTATGGTCTTGAAAATACGGTAATCACAATGAACCTATGTCTATATTTTCCAAATAAATCATTGAAAATGGAACAAATTTTCATGAGGCCTTTGCTTATATGCACATATTTATACATCAGTGCTGTTTAAATGAATTTAATGACTCCAGACAATCTCTAATGCATAAAACATAAAAACAAATTCATGACAGAGTCTGAATTCTATATTAGTATAATTGTAGTATATTGTTAAAAAGTATAAATTGCTGTTTTTGGTCACATTTTGGTTCACTATTTTATTGTGGGGCCTATTGTAAATTTTAGTAATGAAGACTGATAAGGCAGTACATCAACCACAGTACCTCACCTGAAAAGAGTGAGGGAAAAAGGTACTACCAGTATTTCCGGCCTTCTGGTATCTGGTGTATTGATTCTAGTCACAGTAAATGGTAAATTGACTGTACTTAAAGCGCCTTTTCAAGTCAGGAGACTTGGCCTACATTCAGTCATTCACCCATTCACACACACACTCACACACTGATGGTGGCAAGCCACATTGCATCCATAGCGTCCCTGGGGTTCACTTACAGAAGTGAGGCTGCCGTACACTGGTGCCACTGGGCCCTCTGACCACTTCCACCTCTTGCCCAAGGACAAAATGACACTGAAAGCTGTAGCTGGGGCTTGAACCATCAACCCTTCAATTTCAGGGCAAACTCCTACACCCAACGCCACTGTAGTTTTAAGAGACCCCATTCTGGGGGCACCTGACATTTTTTACAGACGGTCATAAATATGTAATTCCAGGAGGAGTAGGCATTATATCTTATGCTGTTGTTTCTTCCTCTGACAAACCTAGCCCTGCTGCCTGCTACAATTGGCACATCCTGGAGGCTGAGATTATCCCACCCTCATCGTCCTCGCTTCTTGCTGAAATCTGTGCCATCATTCGTGCTTGTGAAATAAATTATTATAAAAAAATAAATATACACAGATTCTGCTTACAGAGCAAAAATGGCACACGTAGATGTAAAACATAGGCAAATAACAGTGTTGGGATCCTCAGGCTTGCCCACCAGAGGGCGCCGAGGATCCTCTTTTGCTTTTTGTATTTTCTCCTTAGGGCTGGAGTTACTGTTGGGATCTGGAGACTACCCTCTGTCTCCAGCAGAGTGCGCCGTGGGTCTCCTAGGGCTGGAGTCTTCCTGCACACCTGTTGTTAATCTACTCATCAGGAGACCTCCCCTTTATAAGCTCCTGCCAGACCTTGCTTCCACGCCGCAGTGTTGATCTTAGTTGGTTAGCTTCCAGAGTCTCTGTTACAGATTGAATCTTAGTTGTCTCAAGTGTGAGATCAGATTCTAATCCCTCCTTTGTCTGTGTCTCACAGGAAACCTGTCTCTGGTCTGAAGCTCAGGAAGAGCTGCCTCACTGGAAACCTGTCTCTGGTCTGAAGCTCTGGGAGAGCTGCATCACAGGAAACCAGTCTCAAGCCTGAAGCTCTAGGAGAGCTTAACCTGCTAATCTGCCCTGGTGAGCCAACCTGAAGGTTCCTATGTGGAATCACCCTGAAGAATCCTATGTGGATGTTCCCTGTTGTTCTCTGCAATGAGCTGGAAGCTCAGCCTGAAGAATCCTACGTGGATTTTCCCTGTTGTTGTCTGCAGTGAGCTGGATGCTCAGATCAAGGTCTGCTATGCTAAGCCTGAAGCTAGATGTTTAGCTTCTTATAAACTCTGCTAACCAACAGTCTCCGGTCCCAGTCAAGACTTCTGTGAACCAGTCCAAACCAGTTTCAGAACTTGTTTTATTCTCTGGTGTTCAGAACTTTAAATAAACCTTTGAACTTTTTCCCTGTCTCCTCCGTGTGTGTTCTGCATTTTGGGCTAGCTCTGATACCCATCATGACAAACAGATTCTTCTGACCACCACAGGTAAAGCTGTCAAATATGTTGCTAAGATGCTCCAACTAGAAGAGGCTTTGACAAGACCGGAGCAGTTTTCTTTCCTAAGTTGTAATGTACTTCTTTGTGTCGACACTACCCCCACCAAAACAGAATGTGCTAGAGTGGTCATTAATCGGCTAATTATTGACCTCTTAATAATGGGGATTATTGGTGTGCTGCTGAGAGACTGTAGCTCAAACAGTCCAGATTAAAGCAGGATGAGTGCTTCTACTTTTTGGGAAAATAAAATCCCAGGTGGGGACATTATATGATTTTAATTTAAAAGCAGTTCCATCTTCTCGTTATGATCACATTGGAGACTGATGTAACACAGGATGAATCACACTTCGAGCTGGTGCTGGACAAAGCAATACCACATCTTACGGATATGGCCAAGATACCGTAAGGTACTCAGCAGATTAGCTGGGTTCACTTTTATAAATAAAGCCGGAGAGTTTTAAAACAAATTCGTCTTGACCTTACCCTGGGTTTCAGCCTCCAGTTTTTATTCATTTATTTTTATCCGTGTATATGATGCAGCCTAGACAATCCCTGAGCACATTATTGATTACGCTCCATGTCCAACCAGTACAACTACTTATTTGTCATTATTCATCTGATTCTTGCTAATATTCTTTGTATGACTTTGAATTCTACCAATTCTCCTAAATGTCATGATTCACTATAGACTAATTGATGAACCGTTCAATTGCCGTTCTAGGTAACAAACCTTAGAGGCCATTTACTTTTGCCTTACTTGCATATACATAGTGACAATGAAGCTGACAGTGTGCAGGCATAATAGTTCAAGGCCCATTTAAGGGGGATCGTGAGGTTGTTTTATTTGACTATGTTCTTTTTTTCAGGCTGTGTTTCTAGCAATCCTTGAGCTTTTATATCTTTTCCCAGGACAGGCTGGCAATGTCTCAGCCCTAATTGTATCTTCTTTAAGATTTGTACTAATCCTTATTTTCTAAAATGAAAAATTTGGATGATGACAACCAGAGAGAGATGTAGAGATGGGTGCACACACTGGACTTTGATAAGTGGGTTTGAATAGGCTCTGACTGACTTGACATGGTTAAAAATTGTACTGGGATCCCAATCATTCATTAGGACATCAGAGCGATGGTGTTAATGTGCAGCATGGGGTTATTGATGAGAAGGGGGGTGTGTGTATACTTTTTTTTTGATTTGATATGAGTCCTGGGTGAACTCATTGAGGCACAGAGTGTTGTTTTAAAATTGTGAACTAACTGTTTTTGTTTCTACCTGTAAACTTAAGGAAATTTTGAAGAGCTCAGTTTTCGATCCTCTGAGGTTCTGATGTGACCTATGAGGTACAGTTGAATATAGGAGTTTGAAGCTTATGAATTTTGTTGGAGGGAAATTGAGCACCCTTTGAGAGCCAGTCATTCTTACAGAGGTACTTGCAGAAGTGTCACAGTTCTACGCTGTAGAACGCTGGACTATGTCATAGGTGAGGCTATGTAATGGTAAATGGGGTGTACTTATATAGCGCCTTTATTCAAGTCAGGAGATTTGACCAAAGATCTTTACACTACATTCATTCACCCATTCACGCACACACTCACACTGCCGTACACTAGCGCCACCGGGGACCCCTCTGACCACCATCATTAGCCTGAAAATAAATGAGCCAATATAACATCTAATAATTTTACTCAGCTTTCAAATATTCATTTAGAGTATTTATTTAATATGTGTTTATCAGACAATCAGTATTGTTCCTATTGGGTAATTTAAAGTAAGCTGGGCTACATGCTGGCAATGAATGAGTTAAAACTATTCTAATAGGTCCATCGAAATATATTTACCATTGATCGGACAACAGGCATTCTGCAAGTCACACTTTGCAGCCAGATGTCAACATTCAATTCGTTTATGACCATTGGCCAGACATTTACATGACATTTGGCAGTTCTTTCAAGATGATAATCCTAACAGGTGTCTTAAATTGCTTAATTAAAATGCATTTTTCAATTCTTCGATTCTCTCCTCCAGGTTTCCTCCACTGCTCTCGGCCACAGCTCCACTTTTCTCACCAACATCTTCTAGATTCTGGCTTTCATCTAGCAAAACGGCAGCGGCCTGCAGATTCATTTTATGTTTAATTCACAACCAAATTGCAGGTTTTGAATGTTCAGCCGTGCCTGTACACTCTAGACTAATTCTCCTGTGTCATGTCCAGTGAGGGGCAGTAGCGCTGCTACATGTAGCGAAGCTATTAGTTTAACTACATGTTCCAGTAGCTTGACCGTAGCGTCGCTGCTTTATTTATCAAGTAACTTTCCAGTAGTGACGTTATTATTTTTATCAAGTAGCGACGTAGCGTCCACAAACGCTACAAAATCCAGGGCATAACTAAGTAATGAAAGCAGGTTTTCTATTTTTGAAACAACAATCGGAGTTATTCGTTGGACATTCACGCATGAGCCTCTATTTTGCCTCTCCTGTCTGTATCTAGGAAACATGCGCATGCGCACTGCAGTGGAACTCAAAGAATGACACACACAGACACACAGAGCCACACACACAGGATGGAGGAGGAGACAGGAGCAGAGCGCCTTATCTTCAGAGATTTTGAAACTTGTTGAATCCTCTGATAAAAAGTACGTGTTCAAATTTCGGTTCTTGGCCATAGAGAGCTCATGTGGCCAAGACTAGCCATTTGTTTTACATAACCAAACACTCATTAAAACAAGCAACTGCAGTCAATTTTTTGAAATAAAAATGAGAAAAATATATCAGCTTTAACTTTATTGGTGCCTTTAATTTCCAGATAGTTCAATCTGATGAGTGCCACTAAGATATTCTCATTAGAGAGCAGTAGCCAAACTTAGATATTGTATTTTAATGGCCTAATTTACCAGACAGGATGTTTACATAAATCTGTTTTAAGGCTTATTTGCACAAATAAGATTTTTTAGGTATGGAGGAACAGCTCTCCCATATATAAAAATAAATACATAAATAAATACATGCTCAATAAATAAATAAGCATTCAATTAATTACCCCCCAAAATACAATGAATAAATATGTAGGTAGAAATTAAATTATACAGTGAGACATAAATGTATATACACTCACTGGCCACTTTATTAGGTACCCCATGCTAGTAACGGGTTGGACCCCCTTTTGCCTTCAGAACTGCCTCAATTCTTCGTGGCATAGATTCAACAAGGTGCTGGAAGCATTCCTCAGGGAGTTTGGTCCATATTGACATGATGGCATCACACAGTTGCTGCAGATTTGTCGGCTGCACATCCATGATGCGAATCTCCCGTTCCACCACATCCCAAAGATGCTCTATTGGATTGAGATCTGGTGACTGTGGAGGCCATTTGAGTACAGTGAACTCATTGTCATGTTCAAGAAACCAGTCTGAGATGATTCCAGCTTTATGACATGGCGCATTATCCTGCTGAAAGTAGCCATCAGAAGTTGGGTACATTGTGGTCATAAAGGGATGGACATGGTCAGCAACAATACTCAGGTAGGCTGTGGCGTTGCAACGATGCTCAATTGGTACCAAGGGGCCCAAAGAGTGCCAAGAAAATATTCCCCACACCATGACACCACCACCACCAGCCTGAACCGTTGATACAAGGCAGGATGGATCCATGCTTTCATGTTGTAGACGCCAAATTCTGACCCTACCATCCGAATGTTGCAGTAGAAATCGAGACTCATCAGACCAGGCAACGTTTTTCCAATCTTCTATTGTCCAATTTCGATGAGCTTGTGCAAATTGTAGCCTCAGTTTCCTGTTCTTAGCTGAAAGGAGTGGCACCCGGTGTGGTCTTCTGCTGCTGTAGCCCATCTGCCTCAAAGTCTGACGTACTGTGCGTTCAGAGATGCTCTTCTGCACACCTTGGTTGTAACGGGTGGTTATTTGAGTCACTGTTGCCCTTCTATCAGCTCGAACCAGTCTGGCCATTCTCCTCTGACCTCTGGCATCAACAAGGCATTTCCGCC